AGCCATGGGTGAATCTAATATTGATTTAACCCTCGCAACTAGAGGTGTCTTAGTATCAGGGTGGCGAGCACTGGAATGCGCCAGCATGAGCGATCGTCACCTCATTATTTTTGAAATTGAGAGGGAGCGCCATGCGGAGCTGACGGAGTCGGTGGAGGTGCCTGCCTGCTTTCGGGACCGGGGGGCGCTATTTTCGTGGTACAATTCACGTAAGAATGGGTAATCTGGAAGTTCAACAGCCGGCTGACCGACTCTGCGCGCAGTTCACGGAGATCGTCGTACGATCTGCGGAGGACGTGCTGGGGAGTGCGCGCTCGGGGCGGGACGGTGGCTATGAATGGTGGACGCCTGAACTTGACAGGATGATGAAGAAAGTGTGTAATGCGAGAAGGGAGTGGCAGAAGACCAGGAAAAAGGGAGGCAGGTCTGAGGAATTAGCTGTGGAACGATTCCATAGTGTGAGAGCGGGATACCGACAGATGATGGGGGACACGGAGCTGGCCCATTTTCGGAAAAAAGCGAATACCGGTAACACCGAACCTTGGGGGCGTGCCTACCAAGTGGCGAGTGGTAGGTACCGTCCTCCAAGCAATATCATAAATGCAGTTAAATTTGCGGAGGGGCACTCGAGGAGTGTGAGAGAGGCCATGCGGGATCTGCTCGGGGCGCTGTGTCCGGACACAAAGGTCAAAGGAAACATAATACCACGGGCGGGTACGCCTGATGGCGGCTCTTGCGCCATCTGGGCCGGTTACCGCTCCCCCTACCATTGAGTGTCTGGAGGGCATAGTTAGGGCTTTACCCAACACTGCTCCGGGATTGGACGGAATTAGCGCAAAAGTTGTTAAGAATGTGTGGAAGGCTGCACCCAGGGAATTCCACTGGGTGTATGCCAAATGCGTGGAAGAGGGGGCTTTCCCCAAAGTATGAAAGAATGGACGGCTGATAGTTATTCCAAAAGGTAATGACAGGCCTCTGACGGATCCCAAGGCGTGCCGCCCGATAACGCTCCTCCCCATCTTTGGGAAACTGCTGGAGCATGTTCTGTTACGATATGCCCCGAGCTTGGTGAGGGGTATATTGGATTGCCAGCACGGATTTTCTCCAGGTCGGCCCACAGTAACGGCACTGCAAGACGTGCTTAGTACTGCGCGCGAGTCGCAGCGCAAGTATGTACAGGCCATCTTTTTAGATATATCGGGAGCATTTAATAATGCGTGGTGGCCGATGATATTGCTGAAGACCAAGCAAGGGGGGATTCCACCTAATGTCTACCGTATGTTGGTGAATTACTTCACCAACAGACGTGTGGACACATTCGTGGGTGAGTGTGTTGAGTGGAAACGCTCGACCATGGGCTGCCCGCAGGGATCGGTCCTTGGACCGACCTTGTGGAATTTACTGCTGGACGATTTGTTGAGGCTGCCATTTCCTCTAGGTACGAAAATGCTGGCGTACGCAGATGATGTGACACTCCTGATAGAGGCGAACTCTAGAGCAGAAATAGAGAGAGCGGCAAAACCTGCACTGGAGCTGGTATCGTCGTGGGGTGAGAGGAACCGGTCATCCTTCTCTTCCGCGAAGTCATGTACTATGACCATTAAAGGTAAGTTCCAGCGACCACCTGTTATCAGGATGGGGATGGAGTCGATAAAAAGCGTAATGTCGACTAAGGTATTAGGTGTCACGATTGACACTAGTCTATTTTTCATTCAGCATGCCAAGGATATGGGAGAAAGGGCTGGGAAATGCTTTGGGAAGATGTCGCGGGTGTCGGCGTCTTCTTGGGGCGTGCGCTTCCCGGCCCTTCGTGTTCTGTATAAGGGAACATATGTCCCAGTAGTGACTTACGCTGCGTCCGTTTGGGTTGACCAGGTGGGGAATTATACAGTGCGCACGGCACTGCTTAGAACGCAGAGATCCTCACTCGTGTTGCTGACAAAGGGCTACAGGATGACAAGTACTTCCGGTGTTAGCCGGCGTCCTTCCGGCTGACCTGGAGGTCATACGTGTGGGTTGGACTTGTCGGGTGCGTGGGAATGCAAATAATGGGGAGTTGAGCAGGCGCAAGCGCGAAATGTGGGTTGAAGTTGTGAATGCATGGTAGGAACGGTGGACGAATGAGACGCATGGCAGAGAATTATTCCGCTTTTTCCCAGACGTGGCAGTGCGACTCAATGCTAATTGGGTCGTGCCGGACTACCAAGTCTCACAGATGCTTAGTGGGCATGGATGTTTCAGAAAGAGACTGTATAATATGAATGGATGGAGTTGTACGCGACAGGGAAGGTCCGGTATTCTACCAAGAACTCGTGGACGGTAGGATGAACTTTGGCCGGCTGCGCGAGTTTGCGTATGGATGGCACGCAAGAAGGACGGTAATGGAAGCAAGGAACGTGCAAGTAGTCGAAGACCAGCCCGGAACCAAAGCCGTGGTATGTACGTCCAGCCCAGAGAGAGAGAGAGAGTGACTATTCGGGATAAGGAATAGATTAAATAACTTGTAGAGAGTCAAGAAGGTGCACACGGGAAAGAGCCCAGAGCAAGTATCGCGTGCATCTCTCGAGATTCGGCCCGTATAATCGTAAGGTTGGTGGACCATGGGAGGTGAAGGATTACCCCCCTCCCCCTCCCAGTCTACAACCCTACTCCCACCCTAACATCCCTATCAGCCCTATCAATCCTGGACGGGGGCCTACCGCGGTGAACCGTCCAGGGATGGAGTCGTGCAGGAATGGAATGGAGGAAAGGTTAGAAACTGTTCCGCCAAGGAACATGACGAAACAGCCGAGCCAGTAGTGCAAGCGCAGTCTCGCTCGAGAGAACTGCTCCACTCGAAGGTGTTGTGCCCAGAGCCCGACCGGTTTGGCACCGTTAGGGGGTCGGGATGGTATGCTGTGCTCACCGCCCAGTCGCCGGTGACGCCTCGTCCAGGCGCCCCCTTCCAGCCGCGATGCAGTCACGTGCCCACACGAGTACCCTCGCCATGCAGCAGTGAGTGCGTCCTCTTCCTTCTTGCACTCTAGCCTGGCAGCAGTGAGCACTCTCGCCTGGTAACAGAAAACAGCAAACGCCTTTGAGTGCTACAGAAAATGATAAGCACAATCCCGTAATGGAATGCCTAGCCTGGTGGCCCGACAGGAAATGCAGGATACGGTCGTCCGACAGGAAATGCCGAGTATGGTCGTCAGACAGGAAGTGCCAAGTACGTTTGCCCGACAGGAAAAAATGCCAAACCCCGCTTGGCCGTAATGAGTGCCTTCAATAAGCACTTGCGTCTGGCTGCAGTGCGTGCCCCATGCAAGCACTCGCACCTGGCCGCAATCTCGGTTTTCTTTCTTCCGGTGGCTACCAGTGTTCCAGGTCCGGTCCTGCCTCAGCCCTGATGGGCCTACTACGCTGGCCTGGTCTTCTTCGCCTTTGGTCCTGTTGCCTCAGCCCTGGTGGTCCTACTACTCAAACCTCCGGCTTCTTTCGGCTGCTCTTGATCTTGATCTTGATTCGGCTCCAAAGGTCCAAGTGAAGGTCCAATTGAAAATTTTACATAGAATGTGATGAGGAGAATAAGCTGACGATTCGATCGTGCAATAAAGTTGATTGATGAATGAATTAATTCATTTTGAATAGTTTAAAACATACATACAGTCACCCCATTTCATCACAGTTACTAGTACCTATATAAAACGTTATTTTTTGCAATACTAGATATTTTGTGTTTCGTATCTAGGCTTGGGCAATAAATATCGATATTTTTAATAAAAATATCGGTATATATCGTCGATATTTCCAATCGCTATATTTAGATATTTATTTTAGAGTATCGAATTCGTATCAATTTAGATATATCTTAAAATGTTGTATTAATGACAAAACATGTAACAACAAAAGCAGGCACAAAAGTTTGAGTTTGAAAGTATTCATGTGTGGTTTGTTGTCGTTTATTTTTCATCGTCCAACCGCTAGTAATATATAATTTTGGACCTTATCTTTACATCATGCAAATGATGACATTATATCGATATTTATCACGCGATATATATCGATACTGTATAAAAATATCGATTCGATATATTTTTTTGTTGTCATCCGTTAGGACTAAGATGGAATGCCTCTTTTCCAGTAAAAAGGGTCTCCGGTTCTCTACACTCACCATACGAAACACAGCAGCCTTGAGCTGCTACTTTACGCTGGTTTTCTGTGAGAGCGTGGTCCTTCCCCGGCCGAGCCGACCCATTCGCGCTAAAACTATACTACTAATATAGCTGCAACATGGCTCTACCACGTAAAAAAATGACATATCAAAATCCACTTCAAACCATTATTTAAACAATATTACAGGAGCAGTAATCCGTCGCCGGTCAAGTTCCCGCCAAAACTCCAATATTACTGTATATATTGGTCTGCACAGACTAACATGATTATGATGTAGTCTGTGTATAACTTGACCGACAGCGGATTGCTGCTCCTGTACTATTGTTAAAATAATGGTTTGAAGTGGATTTTAATATCTAAAAGTGGTGCGATTTTGAATATTAAGTGCCTGCGTATGTGAACTATTAGTGGAAACGGTGAAACAAGTTCTCTGATGGTGATCTGATACTCAAGATAAGGTGTCTGTCTGCATAGGTACCTTGAGATACCATCGCGAACTGTCAACTGTCTGCCGGCACAAGTTGCCATCAAAATTTCCCAAGACCTGCACAATGTGACGCATCAACATATTGTGAAGCAGTGTACTATGAAGGATAATATTATACATTGTAACTTCAGGCTCAGAAGGGCTAGAACCCAGAGCCGTAAAGCAAGTTATAAAAATAAATCAAAAATAAATGTTTCTATATAGTTTATGTAGCGTTCTCAATTCTCATGTTCTGTGTATTTGCTTGCGTTTTAACTTTTAACTTAAACTTTAATATTGAATGAATAGCACGCCAGTGCCTTTAGTATTTAATGAAAATATTGAAAGAAATTGATATATTTCAAGTTTTTAAAGAATCAAAATGTGGTATTTAAGTTCTCAAAGTGATTCCAGAATAATTTACATTGTCCCTCATAAAGAAATTATTATTGGCCGAAGTGGTGATGCACAATATTGTAATTTTGCTGTTCCTGATGATCCATCCATTAGTAGAAAACATGCCACATTAAATGTGTTGGACGATACCTTAATTATACAAGATTTGGGTTCAAAGTATGGAACATACTTAAATAATTCCTCGGAAAAGTTGGAATGCAATGTTAAACAAAAAGTAAATGTTAATGATATCATTAAGTTTGGTAAAATGGACTGTGTTTGGAAGGTACATTTTATAAATTACACAACATGTACATCAACCTTAAAAGGAGAAAATCTTCAGAATTTGAAAATGATTTTAGGCAAATTGGGTGGAATATTGAAGAGTGAGTGGGATGATTCATGTGCATATTTAACAATGCCTGCTATCACTTTGACTATTAAAGTGGTGCTTGCATTAGTACAAGGTTCATTTATTGTGACCACTGAATTTTGGAATAAGTGCTCTGAAGCTGTTACTAAATGCACTCCATTACCTGATCCAAGAAATTTCATACCTCAAATTGTGGAAACTACACTTAACAAAGAAAATGTATCTTTTTTACCAGATAATTGTAGAAAAACTTTGTTTACAGGCAAAACTGTTGTTTTCTTTTCAAGAAGGCAGTTGGATATGTATAAAAATGTTCTTACAAAAAGCTCTGCATCAGCTTTGTTACTTAGTGAGACAAAGATGACTAAGTCTATGCTTTGCAATGATAATATAATTGTGATTCAATACAATTTGACATCAACAAGTCAAGAAACACAAACACAAAAAAATCTAATCAATGACATAGTATGCTATTTAAAGAGCAAAGGTAAAAGAGTTGTAGCCGATGCAGAGATAGGTTTAGCAATATTGTATTGTTCACTAAATAAATATTGTAATCCTGACTTTAATTTTTCATCTGAGGTTATAAAACAGCCATCTGATCAAAGTGTAAAAACTACAAATATATTAGCTCATGAATCAGAAGAGCCTGTGCCTAGCATTTGTAAACTAGAAAATGTGGTTATAAATGAAAGTCTGAATTCTAAAACTGATTTGTCTCACGTTTCAACAATAAATAATGGCAGTACTCTACCAAAAAGAAAATGGGACGCAGAAAATAATGATGATAGTTTTATTAATCCAAATAAGAAACTAGCCACTGTGAACAAAATAACTAGCATAGAATGTTCAACAAAACGAACATGTGAAGACATTGATGAAGATAATTCAAACCCTACAAAGAAATTGGCAATTGAAAACAGTAATGAAGATAAGGATAACTTTAATTTCATGCCAATGTCATCATCTCCTGCAGTTGCTAATGATCTTTGTAGAAAGTTAAATTTATCGAAACCAACAAAAAGGAAGCAAGATTTTGAAGGAAATGAAGATGATAATTTATTTAATTTTATTGAAGAAAACCCCAAACCAACTAAAATTTCTAAGGGTGAGACATTCAATATTGATAAAACAAACTTTTGTAAAGAACAAAATACTCCCAAAGACAAAGGTAACAGTAGAAATGAAGATGATAAACTAGATGTATCAGCTTTAAGAGGAATTAAATTAGAAGAGTTGATGCAAAACAATTTAAAAATGGAGTACAGCAACAATACTGTAATAGATATAAAGAAAGAGGATATAACAGATATAGATGGCAAATTAAATGATCTCGATTTAGGGACAACAACAGTTGTTTTAAGAAATGATTTGATTGTTAAAAAAGAACCACTGCAGTTAACTTCCAATGACAGCAAAGTAATTAATTTCAAAAAATTCAAGAAAGTATGGCCAGTGAAAATGCAAGTCAGTATAATTCCTAAGGCATTTGTTAACACTTTAAGTGTGACAAATTAAGTTCTGCAGGAAGTGACATTATATTGAGAAACTAAGGCATAAGATTATTTTTGGTTTATATATTATATAGTTACTAGTTATATTTTAACTGTTCTATGTTGATTTATATTATAATTAAACATTTTGTACTAAGAAAATAACATGTTGTATTATTATTTATCTTTATTATATTGAATAAAATTTTAAATTTATTCCTCTTCATTTATATCGCCTTCAGATTCATCTTCTTTTTCACTCTCTAACAAATCTTCCTTATCAACACTAAAACATAAAAAATATGATTATGGAGTTATATTTTTCATATTATTCTCCAATTGATTCTTTAATGATATACATTGATAAACTACCTTTTGTTTGTCTTATATTTTTGCTTTTTAAGGTGAACTGTGCCATCAGGAGCTACCCTTACAGTGCTATCTGGTATGGTTGATAATTCATCCTCTAAAACTGTGAAATGTTTGGGTTTTTTATGAGCAAGTTTTGGAAGTCCAACAGAATTTGATGATCCTGTAATTAAAATAATTTTTTTAAGTTATAAAATTTAATATTTTAGTGTTAAAATGATATGATTTGGCTATGAAGTTCACCACTACTTAAAAGAGAGGGAAAAATGATACAAATCAGGGAAAAATATTTGTGAATTAAGTCTAATGACATATGCAAGTTAATATTTCTTCAATTATTGCTCTATACAATAAGGCAACATTTTCGGTTACATCATAGTTTGGGAGCATTTGGATGTCATATCAGATGCTCATGTAATAATGTTAAAAGATCATGATCATGAATACATAAAATATATTAAAGAGTATTACAGTTCTAAACAAGTAGCTCTCTTGGAAATTATTTTCAACTAGCGAAAAGAATTGCTTTTGTTAGAGTCAACATAAAAATATATAGTTCTTTATATGAGTAAACTTTGGAACCAAATATTTGTACCATTTTGTTTTGATGTTTACGTAATATGTTTATATGTTATTAATAGCTTCATGTTGTCATGGATGCACATTTTCATTTTGAATCAAGTTTTCAATGTTCTTGAATTGATTCACAAATCAAATCCTATGCTCTTGAATAAGTCTTGTAAAATTTGATTCCAGTCACAATAAAATAAAGTTTTTATAACTTTTCTACAAATCTGATCTGCGGTAGCAGACTGTTAACTGCTATTTATGGAGGGCGAGATGTGCTCTTTAAGACAGATCATTTTATTTTCTTATGCAGATCTTAACTAATTAATTTTCAACATCTTTGACATAATAAATTAACGCAAAGTAACGTCTGATTCTAATAAAAACTTTTGACTAGGAGTCCATTTGGGAAGATAGCAATCCCTAACAATTTCCAGCGCCACCCACTGATGTATTCCGGTTTGGGTGATATGGAAAGCTAGTACAAATAAAGGTCATAACTCTTATGATAAATGTCAAACATTTTAATATTTTGTTCATAAAATACTTTGTAATAATATAAGCAAATTGCTAGTTAAATTTATTTATGCATTCATTTTCCAAGTTTTTCATGAAGTATATACAGTCAAGTATAACAGAGTCTCATACAAAAATATAATGTCTCCTTTATGAAGTATTTCGAATAAGACTACTGTACTTACTTAATGTTAGGTATAAAGGCAGTGGAAGGGACAGTGGCAGTTTTAAAGATATTGATCTAATATTGGCCTCTCCGCCAGGATATTTACTAGTAAGTTGTTTTATTAATGACATGATGTTCTCTTTTAAATTATTTTGTGGCATGCTGGTGTGGCCCACAAGTATTGTTGATGTGTGTCCTTCATTCAACCGCAACATTGCTGTTCTCAATCCAATGTCAATGTACTTCTTAATATTTGCCTCCTCATTCATTTTAATTGGTATTAACATATTGTGTTTTTTAAAAAACATTTTTCCAAGTAAATGGGAAGCATGGTTTAATATCCTTGTGTCAACCATTATAAAATCATGTTGTGTAAGAAGTCTCCGTTTGAGTTCATATTGGTCATATTCTACCTTCAACTGTCTTAAAGGCAATACTGTTTTAATCTGAAATAGATATTATTGGTTTAATGTAATAAAGATAGTCGTTTTTTTAAATTAAAAAAAAAATGTTTATGAGAAATATCATTTGTTAGCTTTCAAAACTGGATTACATTGGAGTTATATGGTTAGAAAACTTAAAATTAGTATGGCGTTGAGGCTGAATTTTAGTACAGTTTCCAGTGTTGGCATCATTGTAATTGTTAATTTAGGGGTTCTTGGCAGTGAGTGAAAACTGTCTCATCCTATGCAGCAGTGGGTTATTTAAAGGCTCACTTTTTCTATATGCAATGCTTGATGATCATTCTGTGCCCAGACTCAAGTTATTCAAATATAATATTATTTTATTGTCAAATATGTATCAGTTATAAAGATAATTGTATTTCACTTGCAATATCAAATTTTTACACAACACTATTTTTTAAAACAAGAGGTATAAATGGTATAAAATGAGCTTCTGTCTACAGCTCCACCTAAGTATAAATGGAAAGAAAACACTGTCATGTTCATTTTACCCATGGGTAGTTAATTTTCCATATTGTGTTCAATTTGTAAATATAATCGTCAGTAACAAAGTATGATACAGTATAATTGTGAAATGTATAAATTAACGGTACGACTTTCCATTGATGTCTGTCGAGTTGGGGGTTGATATTTTTTTTACAGAAAGGTTACATTATTATAAGCACAAACGCAAAGTTTCAACATGCGGGAATGCGTACTTTTTGAGAAAAAATTATTGAAAATCAATTATTTTTGCGATATTTATGCCAATTCCCATTGACATCCGTCGTGTTGGAATTTGATATTTTTTTTCACAGAACTGACGCTAATTTGTATTGTCGATTGTCGTTGTCAGTAGGAATGGCGATTCTTTCCGAAAAAGTTCGATTTTTTAAATCAATTCGAATTGTAAGCTGATATATCGATTCACATAAAATCGATTTCCAAATATCTATATTTTTATGTTTGCATTTATAATGTAAATATAAATCCATTTTATGAGAAAACAATCCCCTTCAACATAAATAAATAGCGGGACTGATTCAGAAGAATTTCTGTATCTATTTTGAGACTGCTACGACTCCGGCGCTGCGGGAAGAGCAGCCTCCGCATGCTGTAACAAATCGTTGGTTATTTGTTACAGCAGGCGGAGGCTGCTCCCCCTACGCGCCTCCGGCTCTATAAAACCACTCTAGGGGTAGGACAGACTCGTACCAGGTGGAGTCGGGGTCAATCAATTCGGTTCTTTGTCATAAGTTGAACCTAACCTATTTTATTTGTTATCTGCCCTAATAGGTACTGTTAAAATAAAACAAATTTCAATAAGAGATCATTTATTATGGTATCTTTCTTGTTTTTCATAAAATGGATTTATATTTACATTATAAATGCAAACATGAAAAAATATAGATATTTTAGAAATCGATTATTCGTGAATCGATACACCAGCTTACGATTCGAATCTATTTAAAAATCAATCTTTTTCGGAAAGAATCGACATCCCTACTAACGACCACAATGACATTACAAAATGGCGCCAGTTTTACGGTAGGATTAGACATAAACATTTCAAGAATAATTGATTTCCAATAATTTTTTTTCATATTTTTACAGTATTAAAACTATAATAATAATAAAAAAAACTAAATTTAGAAACCTAATTATCATATAGTCCTACTCCCCGCGGTATCGTGTCAAGAACGCTGGCTGCGTTTCCCCGCTGAATGGCTATACTTAGCCTTTGAGCGAGAAAAGAACCAGCCCTATTATCACCAGCAGCAACGACCAGCCGTGGATGGAGTTCCTTTAGGAACTTCATCGCACGTGGACCCCACGGACCGATAGTCTCTACAGCAAGTGGTGCAAAAATGTAGTCATCTCTCAGAGACTCATATTTGCGCCACTTACTCAGCTCAGCTGCCTCTGATGCCGCCCCAGTTCTAAGCGAGGTACCCCTGAGATGAGAGGCCGTCAGAGTGTCTATGCAAGTAGCATCCCACACTAGGGCTTTACCTCTCTCCCAAGGGACCAATGTCATAGTGTCTGGTCTCCTGCCATCGTCTCTAAATATTCCACAAGGCTCTAAAACTGAGGGAACATTTATAGAGACAAGAGCCCTTCGGATGACATTGTTCAAAGAACTGTGTCGTGAAAACCTACCAGCGCTTTTCTTACATGAAAGTCCGTGGAGCCCAAACTTGTCAACGCTGCTACCATAAGGGCACTGATGGAGTTGACAAATCGCCGCTCCCAGTCGGATTCCTACGGCAATGCGCAAGCTTTCCCCATCAAGTAATGTGCCGAGATTACTTGATGGTAAAGCGTGTAACCAGTGACTAGATTCCTTAGCCGATACAGCTAGAAGGCTGTGTCTTATCTTGGTCACTATGGAAATTATGAAACAAATCTTTCTGCACGCTCTGTACCAATGGAATATCCCACTGTTTTTATTGGTTAACTTCCAGTGGAACATTTTCACCAGGTCAGAGCCATTTTTTGCTGAAAAATTACACGTTTCCACATGTTGAAACTTTGTGTGTGTGCTTATAATACCTTAGTGCTTAATAACCTTTCTGTAAAAATACGTATCAACAGCCAACTGGACGGACGTCAATGGAAAGCTAAGCCAAATTAACTTTACAGAACTTTTAAGCAAAATAATTGGAATAATTTAATGTTCATTATCATGAAAATCTTCTTAAGTTTTATAATAAGAATAGCAAATATGTATTAATACTGGAATACTTTAAGGAGTATAAATAACTTACTTCAGTAACACCTGCTTCTTTTAAGATGTCTTTCCAATGTTCAACAGTAGGTTCATGATCAACTTTCTTTCCTTTTTTTAAATCCGGAGTAATTAAACAAATTTCTCCTGTTGAAGCAGCAGTACTGTGCGGTAATATACTAAAAATACGATATTATAAATACAAATTATAGTCTTTGAAAAGTAAAAAATACATGTGGAAGTAAAATCTTACTAAACTTACAACTTTATGTTCCCTCTAGTATTAGGAATTTTCATGCATCGTATTTCCGCAAATATAGATGTTTCAAAGCCAAAAATTGCATTCTTTTTACTGTGATGTGCTGCTAATTTTTGTAGCGCGTCTAAGCATGAATCAACGAGATTTTCTGTTATACTTGTGGATGGCATCACATATTTAACTTCGCTCCGATTTATTTTCTGACAAGAAACTTTAGCACTTCTATTTTCATTAACAATTTCCACGATTTTGGATACTTTCTTTTTAGCAAATGCACTATTCTTTTTCTTTTTGGATTTAGACTTTAAGCTTTGTTGTTTGCTTTTTTCTGATATAGGTTTGACGGATACCATTTTTTGACTAATTAATAATCTTCTAGTGAGTTCTAGGTAATAGAAAATCGTAACTACGGCAATATCTTTTAAGATTTTAAGGTTATAAGACGCAGACTTATGATGATATTATACCATATTTTTTTATAAGTGGCTTTACGGTAGGGATGTTCGATGATCATCGATGTCAAAAATGAAAACATTCATGTCAATGAACCCATAATCGATTATGAGATAATTGCGAAAACTGCGAACCTGCGAAATCGATATCAACTAAATCTTGCATCCTCTAAAATATTTAAAAATTTGAATAATTCAGCTTGAAATCATCGATAACTTAAAATATATCATTATGGTGTATCAAATTTAACTGTCAAGTGTCAACTGTAATGTCACAGTTGTCACTGATTTCGTTTTGTTATTGGTGTCCTTGTTGGTTGTCTGTTTCTTTGTCGGTTGTTTTTTAAAAAAAATCCGATGGTTCATCTTAAACACGATCCAATGCACGTTTGGAATAATGTTATTGGTTCTAACTGCCTAAAATTAAAAAAAAAATTTGCGGTGAGATATTTGACCACAATCGCTACATCAGTGCCATCTGAGTGGTTATCTACCGACTTCAAAAAGGAGGAGCTACTCAATTCGACTGTATGTTCTTTTTTAATGTGTGTTACTCATTACTTTTTTCGATTTTTGAACTCTTCTCTTCTTTTTCTGTCCCATATAAATCTGACCTGAGAAATAGTTTTTGAGTTATCCTTAATAATTTATATTGAAGTCAGTTGTACAAAATTTTTATTTTTAAATTATTTTCAAGAACTGGCTCAACTCTTTATCAACAGAGAAACAGATTGAAAGGTACTTCTTTGTCAAAATTACTATTTCTTTAATCAATCGGCAAAAATATTGGACTATATAACAAATGATCTAGATATTTGTCAACTTCTTCCAATTTTTATAATTACTGTTTTACACTATATAGTTTATTTATTTCTTTTATTTCATTAATGAAAAACCATAATCAACATGACAATTTTTTATTCCTAATTCTAACCTATTAAATACATGTGCAAAAAACATCGATAATGGTCAACATCGATGTTTTGAGTAGGATAAACATCGAACATCGATGTTGAGCTATCGATGTCACCATCGATGTCATCATCGATGTTTCTACAACATCGATCATCCCTACTTTACGGCTCTGGGTTCTAGTCTTTCTGAGCCTGAAGTTACATTGTATAATTATCCTTCATAGTACACTAAACCAGTCAGCTAAATTTTAAGTCAAGTAAATTCATAGTACTGGTTTCGTGGTGTGTCACGCTGTGCTCGCCCGTCAGTTTCAAGCGGCTCTCGACCAAAAGTCACTTTCCGAAGCTGTACAAGGTTGACTGTACAGTTAGAGACTTCCTCGGGCAGTGTATGGGGCAGTGGAGTATAACCCTTTGTCATCTAGGCGAGCGGATGAATGATAAGAAGGGGTATCTTCCAGGGCAATTGTTTGAGTCCAATCCGGTTTTGCCTCTCCCTGAACCCTCTCAGTACCTTACTGGAGGACTCCGGGAGGGTATTTCAGCTTCGGAAAGGAGGGACAAAAGTAATCCACCTTTTCTATATGGATAATCTCAAATTATTCGTCTCCAGTCGCTCCCATCTTATGGAATTGTTAAACATCACTTGTGATTTTTTTGCAATTCTATTAGAATGGAGCTGGGGATGGATAAGTGTGCGGTCCTCCACGTTGAAAGGGGAAGGGTTGCTAACTCTGAGGGTATAGACTTAGCTATGCCCAGCAATAAAAGGATCCTTTCCGAGGCTGAAACATACCGATACCTGGGTATGTCACAGAGCATCGGTATAGATGAGGCGAGTATGAAATAGTCAGTTTGCGATGTGCTTTATGCACGCTTGACCAAAGTGCTTAACAGCCTTTTTTCCGGTGTGAATAAGACACAGGCATATAATGGTTGGGTCATGCCTGTTCTCACATCAAAGTGAACTTAACGCCCTGGATAGAAAAGTCCGCACTACTATGACGTCCCATAGGATGCACCACCCGAGATCGTCGACTATGAGGCTGTACTTGCCGCGGAAACATGGTGGGCGTGGCTTTTTAAGCGCACTTACCATGCATAATCGCGAAGTGTAGAGGCGCGAAGTGTACAGCCTCCGTAATTACTTTCTAACGAGAGCGGATGATCCGTTCTATAGGGACGTCATTTCTTGTGATAAAGGACTTACCCCTCTATCCTTAGCCAACGAGCAATGGCAGGACCCGGCAGTACAGAGTATTTCCGACCAGGAGACCGTATGGAAGGAGAAGGAGCTCCACGGGAGAACCTCCCGAAGGCTCTACATGAGCCTTTCGTAGACACAGTTGCCTCCCTTCACTGGCTACGTTTTGGTGACCTCTTTGGGGAAACCGAAGAGTATGTCGGTGCGATACAGGATCAGGTTATTAAGACCAACAACTATCGGAGATACATCCTATGGGATGGCACCGTTGACATCTGTCGAGCTTGTCGCCATTCCGGTGAGTCACTTAGGCATGTCATCTCCGGTTGTTCGGCGCTTTCTAACTTAAGTACTTGCACAGGCACAACTTAGTAGCCAGAATTCTACACCAGGAGCTCGCTCTAAATATGGCCTTGTGGACCAGAAATTGCCGTATTACAAGTAGTGAGTGCTCGAAAATGACTGCGCCAGGCTCTACTGGGACCGGGCCATCACCATAGACAGTACTATTCTTGCGAATAAGCCTGATATTGAGCTGATGGACCGGGCACAGTCAAGGATATTTTTGGTCGACATTACCATTCCGTATGATGAGAACCTCGTGAAAGCCGAAACAGAAAAGCGAACAAAATATCTGGACCTGGCTCACGAGGTGACCGACATGTGCGGTGGACTGCCGATCGAAATTATTCTTGCAGTCGTTTCTGTGAATGGGTTAATTCCAGTCAGCCTCTCGGGTCATCTGAGGCGACTGGAATTCCGTGACGGACCGCTCCAAGCTCACATGCAGAAGGCGGTGCTCCTCGATACCATCCGCATCGTCCGCCGGTTTCTTTCCCTTTCCCCCTAACCCTCGGCCGCTTGGTCTCCCCTGCCGAGGATTTCCATCTGGTTGGGTTTTTATTTATTTATGTATTATTTATTTATTTATGTTAGTATATTAAATATTTATAGTTATTTATGTTTATTTATTTTTTCCTTTTATTGACTCAGCCCAACCAAATGAGAATACTATATAAATACATCAAATTCTAAGCCACTTTATGGTTTCCGCTAGTATTATCATGCGAGGTCTTAGGGGTATACGTTAGTGTTTGCGCCAAACGCTAATATTTAAAAACAACATAAGGGGGCGCGTCGGCGCGCTTCTCCGATGTACCTAGCACCGGATGGTACGCGGCTCGCGCGCGCCTCCCCCCACGGGCCGAATGCGTGGGAGATCGGGCAGTTTTTTGTCGCCAGCGGCGGCCGGGTCGTAGTATTGCAGTGAGTCTACTCGGGCCACGTAGTCACGTACATAATAACCTCTGATTGTGTCGATTTTGTTAGCAAATTTATGCAACGACGAGAAGTTGTGGAGTCTAGAAAATTAGACGCCGGGTTGATTTATTGTTTGGAAGTTAATATTTAATTGTACCGTTGCGTTAAGTGCCTTAGAAGGTCGCGTTCGGTTCTCGAAATAATTTGTTGCTGAGTGAACGAAAGTGAACTTTGACCCACCGTTCATCAGTCGTGCCGCGTGTTACGTTTTTTGATTATAATTAACGGGATTTAGTTGAGTTTTGTTAAGTTAGTTAAATGTACAATAAAGTTGATAGACTGACATAGTGAATTGAAGAAAGAAATTGTCCATTGGTGACGCCGCTGGAGAATACCACCCCGTGGGGTGGTGCCGGAGTCAGGGTTGCTGCCGACTAAAAGGGTTAAGTCAGGCCCCACATTTTTACACACTAACAAACACCACTTACATGCACTACACATACAGCCTGACCGAGCCTTGTGACCAGTCTCCGCTTCTGAACTAGGTAAGTCATATTAATTTTTCTAGCCTTATCTCAATCTTGTAGGTTAGTTGTCCATAAGGCCATTTGGACCCGAACCCTCTGGTTGCCCGTCGAGTGGATCACTCATGGGCCCTGGTCCAGTCGACTTCTGTCGGGGCAACTTAGGGCATTTAATTAGGTATATTATATAATCGTTGATATGTTTATTAGTGTTCGCGTAACTGTAATTTCTGAATGACATGACCCTTAAGTCATGATTACCTCACTGGTTAACTTGTTTTTTTGAGACTATGGTTCATAGTTTTGTTAGGATCCGATAAGTGTCGCTGTACTTAAGTTATTATGAAATTCTACATGATTTCCAATAGATCGTACTATAGCAGTCTGGCATATATTATTAGATGTAAAATACCCAGACCGGCGATAAGAACCCCAGAACACTTTTTATACCTATTACACAGATTAAATAATAGTCTATACTGGGAAATTGAGCAGCGTCAAAGGTACGAGACATTTATCGTAATACCTACTGTGATCGCAAAACTGCCTGCCAAAAGTGGTGAAATATCGCGACTTGCGTATAATTCCGTTTGTGAGAACTTGTAATCATTTTGCGAAAATATCGAAATTCTCATTTTTATTTTTTAATCCCCAGCGAAAACCGCGGGGTGTTATAAGGGGTGTTGTTTGTAGTATATATCTGCATGTCTGTCTGTGGCATGATAGCTCCTGAAAGGATAAACCGATTTTGATTAAGTGTTTTTCGTTTGAAAGGTGTCTTAATCGAGAGAGTTCTTAGCGATTTTTCAATAAAATCTATTCAGCCGTTTGACTTTCATCAGCTTTTCTTGTTTCAAAGGTTTTTAAAATTAAATTAAAGTTATTATTAAGTTTGATTATGTAGTCCGAATTAGTATCAACGCAAGAAGTGAATCACAAAGTAATTTCACATACATTTTTACATTAATATTTATTATAGGCTTAAATAAATGGTTTGTG